AAAAAAAAAAAAAAAAAATAGTATCAGGGGATAGTACTCTGTCTCTCCTGCCACTGCATGACATACCAACATGGAGCCAAAAATATTTGCTTAGTGAAAAATTACAATAAGGATACAAATGTATCTATATAAACTTGCAATCAATATCATATCAATACCTACTATGTGGTAGGATGTAGATGTAGTTTGGGGAGAGAGATAAAAGTAGATGTATTGTTGAGATGGTGAGGCAAAGGGGAATTGGTCATGAATTGGGAAAGGAAGCTTGTGAATGCTGTCACTCACCTGGGAGTCAGGGAGACTTCAGTCCAGCTGTAGCCCCTCCCTGAGCTTGTGACCAAGCCACACTTTCCTCATCTAGAAAGGGATAACAATGATTGTTTGGGGGTTGTGAGTTTACTCATCTGTAAAGGGGAAACTATAACAACTTTGATGTTGTAGGCTAAAAAGTAAAAGTAGGGAAAAGAGGATGAGGAAGAGAGACATACATAAGAGAGAGCATTATCACAAATAATTGTAGGCAAAGTGTGCATCATGCCTCTTCCTGTTTCCTCGTCTCTGAAATGGAGATCATAATGCTTAGCCTTTCTGAGGCTGTTATGAAGATTAATTTAAGTAATATAGTTAATGTATACTACTTCTGTTCAAAATGTCCTGATATGTATAATCCCCTCCCTCTCCACCCAATAAACCCCTTATGTAAAGATGAGCTCAACATTCAAATAAAAATGTCTGGAAACATTAAAAGGGAAACCATTAAAATGGTTAGATATTGGACAAAGAAGCTTAAGGTTAACTCAGAGAGAAGACAGCCAAACCTAGGCAGGTTGCTTTGGATTGTCTCTCCTGGGACAGGCCTCCTCTTCTCCCCACCCCCCCTCCACAAAACGTATCCCAGCTAGATTCCCAAGAGCAGTGGTCACCCAGGGGGCCTCTCACTCACCTGACTTAAGCCCATTCCATTTTTTGCACAAAAAGACATTAAGCCTGTAGCCTCAGTAGCTCCCAGTATAAAACAGAGCATCACACGATCTCTACCTCTGAAGGTTGGGGACAGTCCTTTCTAGTCATTCTTCAGCTTTAGGGGGGTTGGTTGGTTTCAGGGACAGCTGACAGCCTTATTTAGCCAACCAGCTGCTCTGTGATACACAATGTCCCTAATGCTCAAAGTCTGGTGGATGATTCTTTTGTGTCCATATAAGCAGCAGTTGGAGGAGAATCGATCAGTCCCTTTGGTTGCCTCAGGGTGTCAAGGCTGCCATTCAAATCATTACCACCATAATTATTAAGCATTGTTTTAGTGAGATGTCTGCCAGACAATTGTTTTTCTTTCTTTTTTTCATCATTAAAAAAAAAAACAATCAAATTTCACTAGAGCAATGCTTGCCGCAAGTCACATCGACACATTTATTAAACCCCTTCTGTTTGCCCAGTTCAAGGGAAAATCTTGGAGCAGGAAATACTTAAACTACTCTCTCTGATTTTAAAGAATTGATAATGCTGTGGGGAAGATGTTCACATAAAACAATAACAGGAAAGAGCTCTATAGTTTACAATACACTGGTACAGAGTATCACAGACAGTAGAAGTTTTATTTTCTGGATTTTATTACGGTGACAATGAGGTGCTTAGGAGGAGACTCTCTGTGTATAAGATTTGCAGAAGTGGGCTATTGTGGTGGGTATAGGATTTGCAGAACTGGGGTACTGTGGTGGGAAATTGCTTTCTTTTCCAGCAGGTAAGAGAAAAACAACCAAGGGAGTGGATAAGATACTCAACCCCATTAGAGCAGCCACCAGAGCCTAACATTTTGACAAGAGAGTTCATCAGGATAAATGTTAAAGGTAGCTTTACAAGGGCTTTTGCTTCCGTATGAATGATGTGGCCTGTGTGATTCAGCGATATATTCAAAGACCTTGTCCATATTGTGGCTTGGAGCCACATTTCGAACCCTTTTTCAAGCATGTCAAACCCAAACACAGCGCAGAAGACTGCATATGGTCCAGTCACAAACCGGGCTCAATGACATTGCTGGTAGGAGTGTCATGCATGTGTCTGCTAATGCCTGTTCGCAACGAAGCCTCACACAGTCCCTGCGGTTTCAGTGTTCACCACATTTTAAGATGTTTACCATCACGAATGGAACTTGTTTGATTAACCCTGTTCAGAGGATGAAGACACTAAAGAACCAAGTGAGAAAGAGGGAAAAGAACCGCTTCGGACGGAAACAAAGCCAGGGCGGGCTGACAGAGCAGAGCGCGGACCCACGCGGGGCGACAGAGCGGAGGCTCCCTGCGGGCAGGGGCCCGCCACTCCGGCCCAGCGCGCGGCGCCCTCGGGCTCACTGCCCGCGAGGGGTCAGGGGAGACGCCCGCGTGGGGCGCGCTGCGGCTGGCGGCGGAGTCGGGGGCAATGGGTGCAGCCGGGAGCCCGCGGAGCGCGCGGGTCGACGTGCGCAGGCGGGTGAGGGATCCGGGGAGAGGAGGGAGGCCAGCGACTGGTGCGGGGGCCGGGGCTACGCGGTGGCGGGGAGCAGCGCCTGGCCGGGTCCCTGAAGCGGGAGGGTGGGAGTGAAAGCAAGGAGAGGAAGAGTGGCGGGAGGACAGGGGGGCCCACGGCGGTGCGAGAGGCTGGAAGGGAACCGCGCAAAGAGGCGCTTGCGATGAGGTCCTCCGCGAACGTGGGAACACACGCTCAGCCTCCCGTGGCAGGCGAGGACCCGGACCCGGGAGGGTGGCGGGTGCGGCAGGACGTGACCAGGAAGCTGGGCGCGCGCCACCGCCCCGGAGCTGGCGGCCAGCCTCAGCGGACCGGGTGGGAGCCGGGACTCGAGCCCTCGAGTGGGGAGGGCGCCGCGTCAACCGCCGCGGCGGCGGCGGCGGGGCGGGGTCGAGTGCGCGTGCGCGGCTCGCTCGCGTGGGGGAGCGGGCGGCGGGAGCGCGCATGCGCGCGGCCAGGCAGCCTGGGCAGCGGGTCCTGCCTGTGACGGGTGGCGGCGGACGGTCCTGCCTGGAACAGCGGCGGCTGCTTGTCCAGACACCTGCGGCGGCGGCTACCCCGCGGCGGGCGCAGAGATGTGGCCCCTGGTGGCGGCGCTGTTGCTGGCTTCGGCGTGCTGCGGTGAGTGGTTCCTCCCTCGCCCCCAGCCCTGCGGCTGATGTGTCTTCGCCCCCGCGGGAGTGTAGGCTGCGCCCCAACCCGCCCGGCGGCGCCCGGGAGAAGGTGGCATGGGCGCAGGACGTGGGAGGGCCCCGCGGGGAATCGGGCGCCCCCTTCTTCCTTCCTTCCTTCCTTCCTTCCTTCCTTCCTTCCTTTCCTCGGTCTTCCTCTTCCCCCTGGGTGAGAGCGGGGCTCATCTCCTTCACCCCATTCTCTGTCTCCAGATACACACATCCAGGAAGACTCCAGACGCACCTCGCGCAAAAATTAACTGTAAAGAAAGAAAAGGCGCGATAGGAGGCGAGGGGGTGGCAGTTGACAGGGACCCCCTTCTTTCGCACCTCTCTCCCTTCTCTGCTTACACGCCTTCGGGGTTGAGGGAGGGAGAGTGGGAGGGCCCGGGCCTCTTGCGATGGAAGTGCGCATTTTGGCGAAGTCCACTGGAAGGGGATTCTGCTGTTTGCCTCTCACTTGAATGCAAGAGCAAAGGGGAAGTAAAGGACACAATTAAGTTTAATTTCCAACTCGGCATTCAATCAAAAGAATCTTCCGGCCACGTATCTTTTGTCGTTGTTTTTGATCCTAGAAATAAGCTTCCTGGAAACTCCTTTTCCGTGACCCCCACGCCCCATCAGCCACTTTAATACATACATTCCAAATTGTACGTTGAAGTTTTCCCACTTTATCTGGGGGAACCTTTTTAAAAGTAATCCATATTTCACCTGAAATATGAAGATCGTAACCTCGAGTCGAAACACATGGGCAGCAGAGTGGGAGTTGGTGTCTTTCAACGTCAGAGGAGCCCCCCACTCCACCCCAAGCTTTTGGAATCCATTTCGCTTTTTTAAAACGTGTGCTTCATCTTTAAAAAATGAGGAAGGAATAGGGATATTCGTGACTCTACAGTGCCTGTCACATTTCACATCTATAGAGCCTTTTGTGAACTTTTTGTAAGATTTAGAATTGCGCTTGAATACCAATAACAGCAATTGTTACATTTATCCTAGAATGCTAAATTAATTGGGTTTTAAAGGGATTATTAGCCTGTGTGCTGTTCGTAAAGGCTTGCGACTTTGAGCAATTTCCAAGATGCCCTTAAGTCCCTGCTTACCACTTTTCCCCCTCCCCAAGCATCCTGGCATGTTGGAGCTGTTAATAATCAAGATCTCTATTATCTAAATGGTGGGTGTTAGGTAGTGTTTCCTGTCATCATCTTCAGTATGCTTGTTGCCATTACTGTCATTATAGCTAAAATAATACTGTTTTCAGGTATCTGTTGTATAATCAGAAGCCTTCATATTGAACCAAATATAAATTTGTAATACATTATCACTAATTCAAAGCTAGTTTGAATTGCGAAAAGTATAAACCATGTACTATTTTTAAAAACAGGGGTCCTATTTTCAAGTAGATTAGAACTGTTGGAATCATACTTTAGGGGACAGGAATTCTGTTAGGCCTTCTTTAGTAATAGTTAAGATCACATATAATTAACACTTATTTACACACAATAATAATGTGTTCAAATCCCTACAGAGTCATAGAATTCATAATTTATAGTATTTTATTATGCTTAGTTAATATTAACCTGAAAAAAATACAGGCATTATGCATTTGAGTTCTTTTAAGTGTGGAATATAAAAGAGGAAATGATAATGTCTGTCATAAGATAAAATAGATTTGTGTGTATGTTTAATATGTAGCTTCAAAAGGACCATGTATGAAGAGATGTTAATAGTCTTAGAACAAAAGTAGTTATAAAGCAAGGGATTGGGGACTGAATTTAGGATCTGGATTGAATAAGAAAGGCATGGATTTGTACGTTCATTAATACTGAAGTTTGGTTTTGCTTTCAGTTTCATTTATAAAGCCCTGGTAATCAGGCCATTTCCTAGCAACCTCTATGGTTTCAGTGACCTCTGCTGTAGAAGTTATCTCAAATACCCATCTCATTCAGTTACAGTAGGCACTCTGCAACCACTGTAATGGTTTACAAGATGTGGAATGAATTACTATGTTCCTTTCTTCCCTGTTTCCCCCATATGTCCAATTATACTTTGTTTAAAAGCACATCAACAGTTTTGGTGGTATTCACTAACTAGTAAATAAAGCCTTAAATAAATAAAAACAGTGATATAAACTGTCTTTTTAATGGTTGATTTTTCTTCGTTCAAAGTGAGTATTTAAAGTCGAGGGTATACATGAGTAAATTTAAAAACATTTTTATTGTCTGAGTCTAGTAGTAATTTGGTTTGTTTAAATGAAAATGTTTTTTCTTCTCCTAAAGAATATATTATTTTTAAATACAAATTGCCATTTTAAGGAAGTAAATGTCTATTTAAAAGTACTTATTAATGGGGCTGCCCCAGCAGTCTAGAAGCAGTGTGTAAAGCATTACACTAAATGCCTGCCATTAGGACACTTGCTCATGCTGTCATCTGTGTTTTGGCAGATGTTTTTTCTTTGCCACTGAGTTGTTAATGGAGATTTGAAAGGCCAAGTTCTAAAGATGAAAAATAGTTGTTTCCCCCAAAATTGATAAATATTCAAAGTCCAAAATAATCACTCATATTACCAAAACTAAATTTGCATTCCTTAATGTGAATTCAGCTATAGCTAGTATAGGCATTGTTTTTAAATACAGTAATATTCTTTTTATGACATAATTTTCATACAGCCATTTTACCTGTTTTAGGTTTTTGCTGTCTTAGCTTTTTATACAAGATAAAAATTTTTCTATTTTCATATCTTATGTCTCAGTTTAATATAATACACTCTTGGGTTATCATAAAGTTACTTTGTATATTAGTGAACATATTTCTTCTATGATAAAAGAACCAGAATAATAGCATTGGATCAATTTTGCTAAAATCATTGTAGACTAAAGTAAAAAATATAGGGCACACAGGAAATTTGATTCTGATATACCTAGACTAATACAATAAAACCTGGGTTTTCCTTTTTGTGGTTACATGGAGTTGAAACAGAAATTGGGAGCTACACTTGCCTCTGAATATTTCTTTCCAAATCCATGCAGCAGTTGCATAAGACTCAGAATCTGGTAAACATCAGGGTTTGAGATTTAGATTAGGAGAATTTATATATATATATATATATATATATATATATATTGAATACATATCACATTTGTAGGTTAAAAGGTAAGGCAAAGGGTTTGGCAAGTCCAGGGTCTGTCAGAATTGCTTTTTTCATATTGAGCAAGTATGAGCCAATGCTATGCTCTAAGCACTTTGTAAGGCCCTCTTGGGCAGAGAGACAAATTCCAAACTGTATGTTATTTAATAACTTAAAAAGTAGTTTATAGATAGTAGGGATATTTTGTTTTTATCCTTTGGTGGTATTTAATATATTTTAAGTGCTTATAAAGCCATAATTCTGGATTAAACTGCTCCATCCCCTGTAATTCTAAGTTGACCACTTCCATTCTTATAAAACTACTTTTAAATCCAGTGGGGATATTGCTCTGAGTCAGAACTAAATAAAATTTGTGGACACCCCCAGTCTACCCCAGACCTTTATTTTCGTCTCCATTGAGGAGAAATCTGACTAGATCTTCCTTCCTAACCCAATTCAGTTTGAGACTCTAGTTCTTCATGCCAGGGGCCTGTTCTGAGGGCAAAAACTGGTAGGATTTATTTCTGGCAGATATCTTTACTCATGAGCTTTGTTTCTTTATCTTAGTGGCTGCTGGGGCTTCTCACACCATTCCTGAACATCCATTTTGAGCAGATAATTAACTTCCTACTCCACTGCAAAAAATAGTGGTGTGTGGTTTGGACTCCCTCAGTTTCCCTCCCACCATTACTAAACAAATCTATAATATCTCAGACAACCCTCATCTCATTCTCCTCCCCTACTCAGTTTCAGAAAAATACCTACTTACCTTCCCAGGGAAAGGATGACCTGCCTACCACTCTTTCACTTCCACCATCTTAGAGACCTGCTCAGTCGGCTTAATTCTTTAGTCTTGCATCTTAGATCTTTCTCTCTCCATTGACTCTTTCCCCCTTTTGCTTGCAGACATGATCAAGTTTTACCCCATATTAAAAACAAAACAAAAAGCCCCAAGAAAAAACAAAATATTTTGTCCTTGTCCCCACCTCCACAATCTCTGTTGTTGCCTTCTCTCTCTGCTTTCTTACACTGCCAAATTAATTGAAAAAGAATCACTGCTGCTTCTTTCTCGTCTCTCATTCACTTCCCAAATGCAGTCTGCATGTGATCCCACTAGTCCATTGACATTGCTACAGATAAAGAAGCTCATGATGTTATAATTTTCAATCCAGAGGCTGTTTTTACTCATCCCACTTAACATCCATTTTGTCCATATTAAGACCCTCCCTTGGTGTCTGCAGTGGTGTGCTTTGCTGCCTCTTCTATTTCTCTCACTTTTTTCTCACTTCCTTGGCTCGTTCCCCTTTGACCGTGTGCTCCATAAATATTGTTATTCTCCAAGATTTTATTCTCTGCCACCTGCTCTATTTGCTATACAAGAACTCTTTGGGCAATCTTGTTTATGCTCATGATTTCAATTACCAGCTTTATTCTTGGTGATTCCCAAGTCTTTATTCTTAAAGAAGTCTTTGTTCTTAAATCCAGATTCATATATCCTGGGATCTACTAGATATTCCCATTTCATTGTACCATAGGTACTTTAACACTCAGCTTAATAAATATTGGAAGAATATTCTCCTGAAATCTTCAAGTCCCTTTTCTCTGTAATTACTCCACAATCTAATTATTAATAGTTATACATACTGTTTTGGTTAACAGTTTTAGTATTTCCCTCTTTATCTCCTTCACTTTCGACATCTGACTTCTGATGATTACTGTAATTTCTAGGCTGTGTCTCCAGTTGCTGTTTACCTGTACCATTGCATTACTCTTTTAATGGGTCTCCCTTTCTCCTTTCCCTTTCTACCCTCAGTCCTTCCTTCATA